GTCTCATACGGGTCTGCCTCTTCGACTTCCGACACCGCCACATACACCGGCCGCCCGCCCCCTCCGCCGAAGCCGCCGCCGCGCTGGCCGCTGCTGCTGCTCGGCAGCTGCTTAGTCAGCAGTACCGCCGCGCCGCCCTCCGACGCGGCGCCGTCGGGGCCGACGCCGCTCGGGGACCGCAGCGCCGCGGCCAGCTGCTGCCGCCAGGCGAGGAAGCGCCACCACAGCCCTGCCGGACAACAGGGAGGCGCGCAGTGCCGGGGGTGGGTTCCTCTGCTTATTATCTGCTATTTCCCCTGGATTTCAGGCCCTTTTTTCTACTGTTTGCTGCTTTGGTCCTGCTAGAGGCAGATGTGCGCGTTAGCATGGGCGCGGGGTGGACGGGCGCGGGCTGATTGCAGGCAGCGGCCACGGCCGGCTGCTCGCGGCGACCACTACAGGGTGACCCGTGCTCGCAGCCCGTCAGCGGAGCATGCCAGGACGTCGTTTGAACGTCCCTCCTCCCTCCCAACCATTTGGTGAAACGACTGCCGGCGCGGCCGCCGCGCAACGCTCGCAACGCGGCCCACCCCGCCCACCTCTCCCGCTCCGCCGCCGCGCCCGCGCGCCACCGCCGCCATCCTCCGCGTCCCGCCGCAGCCGCCGCAGCCGCCCGTATCCAAACACCCACATGAGCGGCGCCTGGGTCGCGTAACATAGCGCCGTGGCTGCAAGCGCAGGGGCAGCGGCCTGGGGCGCCAGCATGGTGGTCAGATACAACGTCGGCAGTGCCAGGCAGTTGCCGAAAGCGCAGGCGAGGCTCATCAGCACCGGAAGGCCGGGAGGCACCCCGTGGTTGCGCGGCAGCAGGGCCGGCGCGGCCTGTGGGCTCGGGGGCGGCGGCAGAGCGGGCAGGAGGGGGTGGTCGTGGGCGCGCCGCTGCCGGCGGCTGCGGGGGCGGGCTGCAAGTCGAGCTCGTCACCTGCATGCACACCTGCGTCTGCACCCCAACAACATGCATGTGCCCGACGGCAGAAAAAGCCCCGCATGCCGCACAAAGCAGAGGCTCCCAGGGCACTTCCCACGCGCGCCCCCGCCGCACCATCGGGGCCCCCATCGCCGCAGCTGCACTGGCAGCAATCGCCGCCGCCCCCGCGGTCGGGTGCAGCTCCCGCCACCCGAGCAGCGCGCGCGCGACCGCCGAGCGCCCCTCGACCGCGCGCGCCGCCGCGGCGCCTGCTAGGGCGCCGGCGGCGGTCTGGGCGGCGCAGAGCAGCGGAATTGCCAGCAGGGCGGGCGCTGGCAGCGGCGCGGCGTACGCGAGCGCGCCGGGTGCGGCGCCGGAGGAGGCCCAAATGCGGGTTGTGCTAGTCAGCAGCATGCATGGTATGCTGATGTTGAACGCCACCTGTCGCGCGCCCGATTCGAATCGAGAAGCAAGGAGAGGGCGTGTTTTGCGGGGGTTTGCATGAGCATGGAGACTCAGGTCGCCATCCTGCAGCCACCCAGGCCGCAGCTGCTGGCTGCACATGCACGCGCATGGCCCCCTCCCTGCCCCACATGCTGACCCCCACCGCATGCCCGCCGCCGCCGCATGCCGACCGCCGCCGCATGCCGACTGCCGCCGCATGCCAATCGCCACCGAATGACGACCGCCACCGCACGCCAACCGCCGCCGCATGTGAACGACCAGCCCATGCGCCGCCCATGCGCCCACCTGGCTCAGCACGCGCGACGTACTGCTGGAGAGCCTCCCCCTGTGAGATAACCACGCCACCACGCCGCACAGCACAAGCAGCTTGAACGTCGCCTGCGCCGCGGCCCCCGCGGCGCCGGATTCGACGGCAGCCGCCGCGCCCTCGAGGGCGGACGCGGCCCATTCGGGCAGGGCCGCCGGCAGCTTGAGGTGATCCGAAGCGCGCCCGCGGGCGGCGCGAGCGGCGGCGGCGGCACATGCCGCTTGTTGTGGGGCCGACGGGCAGCAGCGGCGGGTGGCCGCGGCGGTGCGCCATGCGGCGGCGCGCGCCGCGGCTGTCGCGTGTGTCACCGCATTCGGCTGCGGTGTATGCAGCAGGGCCGTGCTGCTGCTCCTGCAGCTATATGATGCGCCTATATAATTGTTATAGAAATTCCTATGCAGCATTCATCAAGCGTGGCACGGGCCCGACGTAAAACTTGAAGGCTTCGCGATCTTGCTGTCACTTGTCAACACATCCGCTTCAAGCCGCACGGATTGCGTCGTATCAGGCGGTTGGATGATGAGCTGCTTTGAAACGCTCCATTGCCGCGCCACCCGGTTTGCCACAGTCTGAGGAGTGGAGCAGTTGCGCAGCAGCTGCCGCTTACCTCTGCTGCAGCAAGAGAGCCAGTCAGCGTGTTACGCCTCACGCTGCGGCGCCTGAGCGTCGGTGGACCTCCAGGGCCTCGTTGAACCATGCCACTCAGTTTTGCGTACTGTACCGCGGCACAGACAAGAAAGGAAGGACCCCTTGTTGAACTCCTGCCCCCGCACCCCCGACTGCCCACCCCAACCCTCAACCTTCCATCCCCCCACCGCGACCATAAACACCAACAAAAGCACATCGATAAACGACATCCTCAAGCCCCCCTGCAGCCACCCAAGCCCCTTCATTAGACCCTGATTCAGCCGTGGATTTACTCATTGCAATCCAACACCGCCGCCGCCGCCGCCGCCGCCGGAGCCGCTGCTGCTGCTGCCCACAAGCAACCCAGGCCGCTGGTGCCCCTCCCGCGCCCCTGCGACCGCCGCTTCTTCCGACGCCTCCGCCGCCTCTGCCGCCGCCTGCTGCAGCATATGCATGACGTGCCCCTTCAGGGCCTCCACACCCTCCCCTGTCAGAGATGAAACCCGCAACGCCCGGGGCAGCCGCGCAAACGACAGCACGGGGTCACCACCCAACTCCCCCTCCCC